ACATATTGTACTCTTTTCCTTAGTTATGTTTTTCCCACTGGGTTTTCTTAACAAGGTTTTTAACGAGGCAATTGTTTCCAATATCTATTATTAATCATGTACTCTTTTTCCTTAATAAAGGGTTTTTCCCATGAGGTTTTACTGATTAAGGTTTTAACGAGGCATGATACAATCGTCATTCAAGGGGGAGTGTTATGAATTATTATTTAGTGAATGATTATTTGATTCTCCATATTCCCCTATTACTCTCCATAATTAGTGAACATTATAGCAAACATTATTATGAGTTTTATGAGTGTAGTTATGCACCACTATAATGAGCATTCATATCATACATTACCTTTCATCTTCTTTGTCTAGTATAAATAGTGAATATTATGTATTGTAAAGTTTGATAATTTTATCACAAGTATTGGAATAAAAGTTCTCTCTACTCTCATGTCTTTCTTTACTCTATAATTTATCTTGTTATTTGATCATATTTTATAACAGTATTAATGTTTTCGTTTATAATTTTACTAAAACCTCCATTAACAAATATTAGTAAAATACTTGTAGGTCTTATGAGTTTTATGATGTTTACATTATTGATATTTCCATTCAAGTGGATCCATATGGTGGATATGATATTTATGGGTGTGTGGTGCCCGAAAAAAAAGGGGGAGGCGGGGTGTGTTCAACGGACAAATGGTTTCCTTTCGATTTTTTTTCAAGAACATGTCATATCAAAACAACATGCATTATAACGGTTAATATTATTACTATAAAAATATTTCTATAATAGGTATACATATCTGAATTCTTTTTAGCTAATAGTTTCTTTTAGCGTTTAGGATTTTGCGTTTCAGTTTTTGGTTTTGAATATATGCTTGACATCGTTTTTTGTAGAATATGGTTTGTGGATATGGCGTGACTAACAATCGTAGCAACATGGCAACAAAATCGAAAAATAGTTTTGTATAGCAGTTAATGTTTATGGTTTTGACAATTAGTTTTCTTTTTGTTGGTGTCTGAATAATCCAAAATCAAACTTGAACCCTCAAAATTTAGGTGGATAGACATTTCGACAACACACTTATTACGACCAGCTACATATCATTTGGAAGGGGTTTATATTCATTTCGGTTATTTTTTTAAACAAAACTTGGTACATATTATTTATAGTACACATTAAAAATATTATTAACATAAATATTTTATTGTAAACCAGATATATAATAAATCATAAAAACGAAATTGAAAAATCAAAACTAACATTTTTTCGTTAGTATCATTGAAATATAAGTTCATGGGATTTTCTAATATGTGCCCTAAAAACACATATAAGAAATTTTAATTATGAACAATATTAACATAATTAAATTCAAAATACATTTATTATTTAGACTATTAATAAATCTCACATTTAATTATGATAATATTTATTATAATTAATGTATTTTACATTTAATTATGATAATATTTATCATTAATTAATACTTTTTATATATGATTTTAAGCTAGAAATACGCAAATTCACTTAAAATCTCTTTTCGTTTATTTTGGAAATAACAACTTTTAGATAGTTTACATAATCCATAGTTTAGTCAAATGTCATATTTGTTTTATTTTAATTATATCTATTTTTAATTTGTTATTTTTGTAAAGTTTTTTATAGTTTAAATAAAAATTCGATTTTTTAAAATATCGGATTTTAAACCCATGTTTACGAAAGTTGAATTTTAAATTTGAATTTTGAATTTTAAAATTTAAATTTATAACCATTATTATTAAGAACTTTTTTTTTCACTTTTCGATACAAAAAGTAGACACAAAAAGTAGACAGCTACTTACTTTTCTTAATTATCAGAAACTATATCTTCAAAGCCTAGTATATACATCTAAGTTGTAGGTACTCAAGTAATAAGTATCATTTCACTTTATATTTTTTATTTTTAGTTTTGACACAGATTTTAAAAGTTATATCAATATTATTGTTATTATATTATCAAAAACTATTTATACATATATTTATTAGTTTTATGGAATATTTGAAAACCTTTACAATTTTATTTTACTCTATTTCTGATATAATCAGTGAATTTCTTGGAATATTTTGGTTAACAACCTTATTTCTTATTTTTATTTGTGTTATATATAAAGAAAATAAGAGTTAAATACAATAAATAGTTACTTTATACATTTGTAGTTTTATTTATATTTTACCAATAAATAATATAATATAGAGATTAACAATGAATATAAATTACATAATAGCTATAAGACATTTGGGTGTGGGCAACACCAAAGGGGGCGTTATTGCATGTTATAATGGCGGAAACACCACCCCACCTCCCCGTTATTGCACGTTATTAGTTTCCACGTTACTTTTCGTTACCACCACCACGGCTTTTAACGCCGTTTTCTTCTTTTTTCTTAAAACACGTGAGTGAGCGTTGCCCACTCCGACCAGTCTAAACAATAAATACAAGTGTTGCATTCTTATATTTAATATAATAATAATAATGAAAACAAACAATAATATAGAATATATGTAATAATTAACCTAAGTCGTCGATGGCAGATGTCTAATTTTTATTAATGAACTTAATATTTTTATAAATATCGTCATTGTCTAGATGCAGTAAAAACCATGTTAGTGTTAGAATATAAGATTAACACATACAAAGGAAACGGAGATCATTAGAATTGTATGAACAATGTTCTTTGTTTTGAATATTTGAAACATACAATGATATTGACGTATTTGCTGTTAGTTTTGAGCTTGTATTTTCACTGTAAAACATAGAGATAATGTCACTGTAGCACATGAAACTTTTTATATTTGGCTAATTTGGTACTTAAAGTTTTTTTTTGGTACATTAGACCAGTTAACTCGTAATTTACCTTTTAATTACACCATTTTAGAAGGTTTCCCGGTTACAATGCTTATGTGGCCGCTGATGTGTCCAATAAGCATACGTGGGAAGCTTATGTGTCGAAGTAATCCAGTTGTCGATATAGGCTTATTAATTCAAACCCTCATTCGGACCTCCTTTAAATCTTTACTTACCCTTCTCTAAAAAGTCAAAGACTTCTCCCTCCCCGACTATTTACATACTAAAGAAGAATGTTTTCGAGCTCATCGATGTCAAGGAATCAGCTACAATTCACTCATGTTCAGTCGCAAGAAGGGGTAAAGGTTTCTGATTGTGGCGTTCTAGCTAAAGAACGAATCTGTTGGAAGATAACAAACCCCGGGAGGCGATTCTGGAATTGTCAAAACAGTATGGTAGGTCCCGATTCTCTTGATTTTGATAAGTTAGTATTTTATGGTTTGATGTGTTGTTTCTTTCTGTAAAGACGATAATGGTGTATTTGTATTTTGTTTCATCTGTTAAAAACCCTAATTTTATTTGCTTCTTGACAATCACTGTGAGTAAAACCCATTTCGCTGGTACATTAAAGGTAGTTGATTTGTGATTGTCAGTCAAACCCTAATTTTATTGGCTTTTTTCAGACTAGGTTGAGGAAATGTAGCTTCTTTGAATGGAAAGATGAAGAACAGGCAGATGGGTACTACAAAAACTTGTTATACTCTCTGAAGCAGAAACTGGATGCCAAAGATGAATTGTTTTAGATGAACAACTTGAGGAGAAGGATTGCTGAAGTGGAGTTTCTGCTGTCATAGGAGCAGTATAAGGTGGAAAAGAGTGAGAAAGAAGTTCATAATGCAAGGAAGACAATAGGCAGGTACAGGATTATAGTTGCCCTGTTGTTTGCTTCCTTGGCCCTATGTGTTTTGAAGTTAGGGGGATCAATGTAGTTAGTTTGGTTGGTTAGTGTAAGCTTTTGTTTTTTGGGGATCACTTGTATTTTTTGTAAAGGCAGACTAGAAAGCCAGTAATTATGGGCATTTTGTATGTATTGAAGCTGGTTTTAGTTATAAGTTGGGGTTATCAACCTTAATGTGTTGATGTTGTAAGGTGGTAAGTCCCTAATGAAAGGGCATATGATAAGTAATGTAAAAAAAATATTCAAAGTCCCAATTGTAGGGAATTTTGTATAATCAGATGATGTTTATCAAACATATGCATGGTCTATATTCCCAACAAATATATTTAATTAGATTGGTTGTTGTGCATGTTTTAAATTTGGGAACAAATTAGGGAGTGATCCATGTGGAAGTACACTGTGTGTATGGGGACCATTTGTAGTGTTTTAATAATGAAAAAATCGGACTTGTGAAGCCATTAAAAAACCATATCCGGGACCATATAAAACATCCCCATGCATGCACATTATTCCAATTTTTCCATGCATAAATATTCAAAGCCAAATGTCATGATTTTACTTAAAATGGTAACATACTTTCATACTTCATGTCATACATAAATAAATGACCAACATACCGTTTTCGGTCATACATAAGTAAATGACCAACATACCCTTTTCTGTCATACATACTTAAATGACCAAAATACCCTTTTCTGTCATACATACTTAAATGACCAAATTACCCTTTTCTTACATACATAAATGGATGACCTACATACCCTTATCTGTCATAAATAAATAAATGACCAACATACACTTTTTCTTTCATAAATACTTAAATGACCAAAATACCGTTTTTCTTTCATACATTCTTAAATGACCAAAATAGCCTTTTTCTTTCATACGTACTTAAATAACCAAAATACCCTTTTACTTTCATACATACTTAAATGACCAAAACACCATTTTCTTTCATACATACTTAAATGACTAAAATACCCTCTAATACATACTTGAATATAAATTACCAACATCCTATTACATAAACTTTAAATATAAATTACCATCATCCTATTACATAATATTTAAATTCCAATTTACCATCATCCCATTACATAAACTTTAAACACAAATTACAATAAACACTAATCAATTACAAGAGCTTTTCCCTTCGAATTTCCTAGATCATCAACACCACTAATTGTTTTGCCTAATTTTAGCTTCAATATTCTCTCTGACTTTCTTCACCTTATCCTCTTCAAAATCTCTGAAATTGGCCTAACACTAACCTGTTGAACTTGACTTACAGGAGCAACCTCCTGAACATTACCATTATCCACTTGGGCATTAGGATTAACCTTATCAACCTCCTGAACATTTACATTATCAACTTGGATAATAGGATCAACCTCCTCAGCCTCCTCATCTTGAACAACTTGCTCAACCACAACAGCTTCCTCACCCATAACACCCTCATCACCTTCATAACATCTAGGTGGAGTAAATTTCATATAATGACTAAAATCCCCTCCACTACTAGATTCAACATCAGTAGGAGCAACTTGCATATCATTTAGAGTAGTATCCATCTCAATTGGAGTCATTTCAACCTCTTCATATTTTTGTGGTTCACTTGTACTACCCTACATGGCATGATGTAATTATGTTAGTAACAAATTATATGTAATTAATCTTATATTTTAAATTGTTTTACCTGTCCTGCATTTTGCTTCACACATACTTTTTGTTTCTTCTGTTTCTTCACATTTAACTTTTGGGGCCTTCTCTGTGGACAAGTGGCCTTGTTGTGACCTATCTCCTTGCAAATACTACATCTGATTTTCTTTCCATCCTTAGAAACCCTGTGTGTTCCTGTATTCTCTGTAGTGGATTTCTTCCTCTTAGTAGTTGGCCTACCAGGCATCCTTCTATTAATAGGAGACAATGATGGAGTATAGTTTGTCTCTGGCCACATGTCACTGCTATTCATGGGAGAAGTTCTGTAATTCTATGCCTTCCTTAATGTGGTTGTGCTAAACATGTTGCCTACATAGGCTTCTACATCCCTATTAAGAAAGGATATCCTAGCTACAGAATGAGCACATCCATATCCATTCAATTGCCACAACCTACATGAGCATGTTTTCCTTTCTAAGTCCACCTCATATGCATCTATTGCTCCCCTTACCTCAAACTGGTTTAATCCACTTGGTAGTACCTGATAATGCCTTTGAGTTTTTGTAAGCAAATTCACCTTATCCCTTATCTATGGACAAATATGATTTCCCCATTGTTGTCCCTTTAATTTCATGTTGTAGATTCTGTCCATCATGTATAATCTTATCTCCTCTAACATGGTTATTATGGGCTTCTTCCTGGCATCTACTATTACAACATTAAAACTTTCTAAGAACCCATTTTCAACTGCATCACAACACCTTCCAGTTTGAAAGAAAGCTATTGACCATATTTTAGGATCTTTCTCCATGAGATATTGATGGGCATCTGGGTTCAATGTCTTAATTTCTTTCATCACAACTTTAAAAGCATGCTCAGTTATGGCTTTAGATGCTCTCCAAAACAAGGTATGATATATGGCACCAGTAAATCTCTTCTGCAAATTCTGGCAAATATGTCTATCAAACCCTGTAGTAGTAAAAATGTTTAATTTAGATAGTGTAAAATTAACATAAATGCATTACTGTGTAAAACACTAACCTTATGTTGGTCTGACATTAAACTGGAACCATTGCCTAAATTCAAGTGTAGATCATCAATGAGAAGCTCTAGAAACCACTTCCAATTCTGCTTGTTCTCCACATTAACCACTGCCCAAGCAATAGGATATATCTTGTCATTTTCATCCCTCCCAATAGCACAAAGCAATTCTCCCTTACAAACACCTTTAAGAAAACATCCATCAAGACCAATTACCCTTCTACACCCTTCAATCCAAACTTGTTTAACTCCTTGAAAACAACAATAGAACTTGCTAAACTATTTCTTTCCATCTGGACCATCCTCTATATCTAGTTTCACATTTGACCCATGATTTGTCCTTAAAATCTCATGACCATACGACCATAGCTTACCATAATGTTCAACAAGGTTACCTTCAACAAGTTTCAATGCATACTTCTTTGCTCTTCTACATTGCCCCATACTAACTTGGATACCAAACTTGGCCATTACCTTTAACCTAAGCTTCCTTACACTTATTTTCCGACTTTCTACAATCTCTTTGGTATAGTGACTTCCAATCCATGCATATGTTACCAATGATCCAAACTTGAAGTTCCTAGCACAGTTTGCTCAGCTTTTAGTGACTTGATTTGGAAACTCTCTTCATCACTCATCCAGGAAACCCATAATCTAAATGTGCAAGGACCCTTGCTACACCTCACCAAAAGTCTTGTCCTATCATTTTTTTCAAAACACAATTGATATCCATTAGCTAGAGCATAGTTACACAACATTGATTTTACTTGCCATGGACCCTTAAATCTCATCCCTAGAATTGGTTTTTCTTTTTTCCAGTGTAATAGCTCATTAAATATGGAATGAGTTTGTATGTTAACTTCAACTTCTCTCCCATTTTCATCATCTACAATGTTGTTTGCATCCTCATCATTAACACATAACTTACTCAAGAAAGGATCATTTGATGTCCTACTCATATGCACTACATCCTCATTAAATTCAAAGGCAACATTTCTAAGTTCATCTATGTTGTCTTCATTTTCACCATCAATACAAGACTCATGTTTAACTCAATAATTATCTTCATCATCATGCCACCCATCAACACCAACCCCAATATGATCCACATAAACCAAAATTACACCATCTGTTCCATAAGCATCAAAAATAAAAGCAGAATATTCCACATCATCTGAAATGGGATTAAGCCCTTCCATCAGGGACACGTCTGGTTCACAGTAGTAAATTTTTTTACACTCTTCATGCATGAAACGTCGCAGAAGGTCACAAACTCAGAATAAGTCATAGAAGAAAAGTCAACATCATTGAAGATGGTTTTAACACCACCAGTGTAAGAGAAAGGATTTCGATTAAATACCCCTTGGTAGTTGAGTTCTACCATCGCAAACAGTCCATTAGGTTCCGATTGTGCCATTGCTATGACTTCTTTGTTTCTTTTAGCTCGATCACAGGAATGCTTCACAAACCCTAAATCATTTTCTTTTATAGCTGAATAATGAAGACAAAGACGAGTCAAGTTCGATAGCTGAAAACGAAAGGCTTTAAGCTTCGTGTATCATTAATTGACGTGACATATATCACGTGGCATCGGATTAGATAAAAAATATATATTAATTGACAAAATGGCATCGTATAACCAGGAAACCTTCTAAAAGTTGATAAAATGGTGTAATTAAAAGGTCAATTACGAGTTTACTGGTCTAATGTACCAAAAAAAACTTTAAGGACAAATTAGCCAAATGTAAAAAGTTCCATGTGCTATACTGACACTATCCCGTAAAACATACTTTTGTTTTCAAAATTGTAACCTTATTACATTGTCCATTTTTATTAAATTAAGCTTGCACTATCATTTTCTCCATCAATTCCATTTTATAACTTTTTTTTTAGTATGAACCTGTTAAAGGTTTCTTTTTCGTTTATATTTCTTTTTCTTTCACTATTGTGACTTGCAATTTTAACTCAATAATTAACCATAGTGTAGCGACTTCCATCTTATTTTTTAGAAAAACATACAGAAAACTCAGTAATAACAAATTTTCTTCAATTTTCTTCATATTAGATAAAATAATGAAATGAAAAGCTCCCCAATATTCAATCTAAAGACGTATGAATACAATAACATCCAATTGCAACAAACAGATCATACAAATCCATAACATACAAAAATTTTTTAGGGCAAATGTATTTATAACAGACTAAACAGCAGTTAAAGATCAATTGAGTAGCTTTGTTCAAGTATAATAATAAAACAAAAGTTACTAACCGAAATTCATTAAAATGAGTGCACCATTTTGCTCATATTTTCTACATCTAGTAGGTTATCTTCGTACAAGAAAATCTAAAAATCAAATCTAAGGTTTCTAGGTAGTATCTGAAGGCCAAACTATGCTGAGAGGCGGTGCGGTCGGCGGCTGGTGGCCTAATGGAGCAGCAGCAATCGATGGTCTTTAAATCAGTTGATCAGTAGCGGAGACGATGGCAATTTCGCAGTAGCACCAGTGGCAATGGCGATTTGCAACATATGGAAATGTATGCAACTGAAGATAGTGGAAATACAAGTGATAATGGGTGGTAATGATGAAGAAGGGAGACTATGGTGGCGAAGTTTGGTGGTGAGGGATGTGGTGAAGGTTAAGTGTGCTATTATAGACTGAAAAAAGATAATCTATAAACAACTTAAATGTTCTAAAATGAGGACCACGTTGTTAGAAATCTTAGTGTTATCTATGTTTTATAGTGTTTCAAATTTTTGCAAGTGTGTTAGTTATGTGAGGGAGATATGATACCTTTGTTTTAATTTGTTGGTTTTTGTGTACATGGATCATGATCATATACCATTCAAATTAAAATAAAAGGCTAGGATTTGCTCTCCTTAGTTGTAAGATAATTGTCTTAAAATTGGAGGGTCCATTATTATCTATGTATTATAAGATAGTAAGATTTTTGGGTTGCCCTTAAACCTAGTAATTGATTGGAATGCATTTTGAAGAGAAAGGACGATTTGTTAAATTATTATATGATTAATCATTAATTAGAAATCTAAATAAATAATTTATTAATATGTTTTTGAGAAAAATATATTAATTAGAAATTATATTATTTAATTAAAAATTAATAAGAAAGTAATTGGAATTAATTTTGGGATTAATTAGATTAATTAAAAGTTTAAGCACTAAAAGTGTCAATGTCCAAAAGTTGAACATTGAGTGATTCTAGAACCTACCTAGGAGAAGGGACGGTTCTAGATGGGTTTATGGAGCTTTTCTAGGAGTCTTAGGAAGTTTAGGGTTGATGGGGGGGGGGTATCCAAAAGGATGTTGGAATAGTGTCTAAGGCTGCAACTATATTTGGTAAGTACTTGACCCGATTAAGCATGGTCCTTTTGGGTTGCCTTCACTATAGCAACTTGTCAGGATGATTTACAATGAGAGAAGAAATATTATAAGGAATAATAATATTGTTATTTGATTAATATAAGTCATAAATTAATTAGGAATTAATTTGGTGACTTAAAGAGATTAATTAAATAGAAGGGCATAAACTGTCAAGTGTATGATAGTTGTACTTTAGGCTATAATCCCTTATGGATAAGGGGTGGACGGTTTTGGGGCTTTGGATAGACCTAGAATTCGTCCAAGGCTTATCATTAGGGTATTGGATTGCTTAGGGCCTAAGTTATCCAATTAGGGTTTAAGGGTGAAACCCTAGGAGCCTTACAAGTATAAATAGACCCAAGGGGTCAAGGAAATCGGCACCCTTGTCTCTAAAGGAACCCTGGCCGATTTCTTCCTCCCCTCTCCTCTCTCTATAATCATCCTCTTGCTAGTTGGTGTTTGTAAGCCATTAGAGGAGTGACAATTGTGACTCTAAGCTCCAAGGACAAGAAGATTCAAGCAAGCAACTTAAGGTAATCTTCTAGATCTGTTTTTCTTATGTTATTACCTAGATCTATTGTTCAAAAGTCTTGGATTCAATGCATGTTCAATTAGAGAAACCTAGATCCAAGCATTAGGGTTTGTATGTGCACATAGGAATGTTCATATGGCCAAAACCCATCAGTGGTATCAGAGCCTAGGTTGGTTTCTATTGAATTGATGCATTGGTTGCTTGTTTGATGCTTGGAAAATTCGTGTTTTGTCACCCTGCCTGATGAACTCGGTGAGTTCCATAGTGGACTCGGCGAGTAGGTCTCAACACGGCGAGTCCATTGTGGTACTCGGCGAGTTCGAGCGTCAGAAAGAGCTACTTTCGGGATTTCCTGTTGTTTGTCCTTTGGATACTTACCTTAATCATATTAGGTCAATATAAATCCGATTTTAAGATATATTTTAGTATATTCTTGACTTAATTGAAGATATTTATCAATTAATTAAATATTAGTTTCCTTATGTGATAATTGATTAATTATTTTAATTAAATTGGTAAATTGTTTTGCAAGAAATAATTAAATAAATCAAATATGGATAATTATGTGATTAAATGTTAATTTAGATTATTTGTTATTTGATCCCCTATGTTTTGAAAAGTTTAAAAGCTACCCTCAAGTTTTGAAATTTATGTTTTGTGATTAAAAGTTTAATTTAAACAATTTAAATTTCAAACCCTAGAATTTTACAAGTTTAAAATTCAACCCTATACTAATATAATATTACAAGATTAATATATATATATATATATATATATATATATATATATATATATATATATATATATATATATATGTATAATTAATATGCTAGTCTTACTGTTAGTAGGTCTCATTCACGAAGCCAGTCTAGAAGGTGGGTATAAGGTTGCTGCCTATAAAATGACGCTTAATGGGTGTATACTCACACCCACCGCTTGCTTGATTGGTGGACGGTCATTAGCCGAACGGGTAGGATTGGGCAACCTCATCTCCTCATTAAAAGTATAATATGAAATACAAAGTAACTACAATCCCATGAATTGATGCAATCCCATGAAATTACACTTTGCACCCTTGCTAAGAAGTTAGTGGAGCATGTGTGGTTTACCGGCACACTAATTGGTTCTAAGCAAAGGTGGCAAAGGGTGATTCATTGTTTTATCATAGTTCGATGGAGCGTGTGTGGTTTACCGGCACATCGAATAGGTGATTGTTACAATGAAGGCACCATGTGAATTTGTATGGTAATTCACACCCACTTTGTGATCCTCGGTATCCCAATCACAAATGAGAGGGGCATATCGAGATTTAAACATGCCATTGAAAAGTTTCAATGAATCTCATCTAAACCTAGGAATTCTCAATACACTTAGAGTTAAAGTTATGTTTTATGGTGGAGAATTAGTGAATCGTCATTCACTTACCTTCAAATTGTTTGCATGTTATATTACGGCATCCCTTTTCTAATATGTAAATATTGTTGTTGGATCCTAGCCCTAATTTTCTTATTGGGTGATTATTAGGGATTCAAATTCTAATCTATCTTTGTCATTTCTATTTGTAGATGTCGAACGCGAACAACGTTGCTGCTAGCTCATTCACATTGATGAGCCTTTGCCAAAAGGTGACTTTCGATGGGACGAACTTTAGCGAATGGATAAGATACATTCGCACGATTGCTCGCTACGAGGACAAGGAGTATGTCCTCGGTGAGAAGCTTGAGAAGATAAATCCTGAAATCGCTACTCCAGCTGAAATCACCGCTTTTGAAACTCATGAGCGTGATGCAACGAAGGTTCATTGCATAATGATAGCCACTATGAACTCCGAATTCCAAAAGTCCTACGAGGACATGTATCCGTACGAAATGCACCAAGACTTGTTGGAGAGATACCACCAAAACGCGAGGCAGGAACGTTATGAGATCTTCACTAACATGATCTCCGCTAAAATGGGTTATGGTGAATCTCTAACTGTGCACCTGCAAAAGATGCAAAGGTATGTCGATCGTCTTCGCAAGTTAAATGTTGACTTTGGGGAAGACTT